TGCGAAACAAGAAACCAACCAACCTCAACACCTACAACTCGAGCTACAAATCTACTCCAAAACCTTATGGGCAATAAACGCTGACCCAGGTTTTATACACCTCATAAGTAAAGTAATCTGGGCCCTGGAATGGGACTTGCATCCATGAACCTTGTGGTTCACGGACAAGAGTTCATCATAAGGCACAAAAATATCCAGAACACACGCCCCTGAAGCCCAGATGACAGATCCGTTCTGATGAAGGGTCACCGGACTCAAAACATTAACTATGTTTTTTCCTTCACAGATGCTGCCTCTGCTGGGCTTTTCCAGCAACTTTGTTATGTGTTCCTGATTTATAGCATTCACAGTTCTTTCGGGTTTTATGACAGATATACAGCCTGTTCTATAAGTATGTAGATTTTGAGTACAGTTCTGGAGTATCGTCGGGATGGCAGTCAAACTGAGTTGAAAAGCTAGCTTGAGGTGAAACAGATGCGTGCAAGACTCATCACAAATGCTCGCATTATGGAACAGCTGCCCTTTGAATCGAAGCACCATTGTGGCGAAGAGAGGCTGACCATCCGCTGCTTCTCAACTTGGGAAGCCTTTCACTGTGGAGAAGCTAAATGCTTGTCCTTAATACACCATAAGAGCCTGAGTTGGTGGGAAAGTACATTTACTTGTTGATAATTGAACGCTGTGGACAGTAAGTTGGACCGGAGTAGATGCTGGGGAAGACTCATTGACCTTTGTTCATCAAACAGCAAACTTGTCTCAGTCAAAACTCATGATGAAAATTAGATGCCAATCGTAATTGTATATTCTTCCATAAAAATTAAACTTTTATATCTTCTTGGGAAGGGTAAAAATTCAACTCAACCGATCTGAGGTCAAGTCCAATTAGCAGAACACAAATTTAGCAACAGTCAAAACAGAAGAATAAGTTCCAATGCAGATTGAGATTTTTAGATTTAGGTTTTATTGTCATATGTACACAAAAGTGCAGGTGTACAGTGAAAAGTGTAAAATGTCGCCATGCTAAGTGCCATCGTAGGTACCTAGGTACAGAAAGAACAAAGTTTAAAAGTTAAATGTTACAGTAATTCTTAGTATTAAGCAGAAAAATAACGAAATAAAGCTAAAAATGAAACATTACAGTTTTTCAAAAGTGCTTAGCCACACTGGGACTGCACTTCCTACAACGGCTCAATCTCCTCATCTTTGCCATGCTGTCCCCACACAGTCCATGCCAGGAGTCCTCACACCACGCCTACCACGCTGCCACCGAAGAAACTGCTGCTCCTGCCGATACACCGGGAAAATCAATTCGGGCCTACCGCAGAGGCTGCCCGGCTGTTTAAAGCCGATGCCACTGCTACTGCTTTGAGCCCTGCGCAGTTTATTATTTTGCGATACGTATCATTTCTTGTGTCAATTTTGGCTTTTTCTGTTGAAATATAAAATTTTGGGCAATTCTTCAAAAGTGAAAAGTTGCGCAAGGTGAAGTTGTATTCGTTTGGTTACGTTTATTCTCAGTATTTGAATTGGAAATTGCGACCCAGTGTTACGACTATTCTGAAATCAGAAATTACCAATCTTTGAAACAGAAGCTAGACTGAAAGCAGAATTAATTTCCAAGACTAAACAATACCCATACAGTTACTTACAGCCCCTTGTGCCCCAGCTAGTGTTAGTTTAAGGACACAGTTGCCAGATGTCAGATTCCACAACAAGAACTAAAATGTGAGTATAAAACAATGAGGATAGAAGTGACAAAATTTCCTGGAATAATGCAGTACAGAGCAGCAAGAACAAGCTCTTTGGTAATTAAAGCAATAGAGACCTTGTTATCAAGAAAATTGGCCTCACTCATTACATTTGTAACTCCTTTATTATGACCACAAATTCCACATCATAACTGGTATCTATGGAGTTAATTAGTCTCTGGAGGAAACTATCCTTAAAGCTGTTGTGCCTTGTAAACATTACAAGAATAATGCAGGATAAGGTTCAATGTGAAACATATATTATTTGAAAGTACTCCCTAATGTATGCTGCCTCTGTCAAGACTGCCTCTTGGCTGTTGACGGGAAGTCTGTGTTTATGTGCAGAGCTTGGTGTGTGTCAAATGTCCAGGGCCCAGATCAGTCTAATTTAAACAAATGGGAACTAACATCCTCTACAATATATACGATGGTTTTCAAATGGAATTTATAAGCTGGTTTTATTGCATTTCTTGCTTTGCATGTAATTAATGTTTGGGCGAGTGAGCATATTTTCTCAGGCTTTTATGTTCTTGACTCATTCATTAGTTTGGCATTTCATTGCAGTACTGAGGGGCTTGCTGCACCATCAGCCATGCCATCTTTTGGATGAGATGGTAACCAAGGCCCCATCGGCCCTCTCCAATGCATGCAAAAGATGCAAAGTAGATCCCAGAGGCCTCACCAACATCAAACTCGATCAGAAAACAGACAGTCTGGTCAATTATTTCATTGCTGTTTGTGGGTGCTTGCTGTGTGGAAATGAGCCGCCATGTTGCATGGCTACTTTACAACAGTGATTAATCTTCAAAACATACCTTATTGGCTAATATGTAGTTTGGGGTATCCTCCTCCACAAAGGGCATTGGTCCTTGAAATCACCTGAGCCTGAAGAAAGCTTCATGTGATAAAAAAAATTCCATCTTTACTTTGAATGTCATTAATTTACAATATAAATGCTCCTTGTCAGTCTCTCTCCCTCTCTTTTCTGCCTCTTTCCTCTAAAGATGATGTACGAGGCAAGTTTTTTACACAGAGCGCAGTGGGTGCCTGGAACTCACTGCCAGGGGAGGTAGTGGAAGCAGATACGATAGTGACTTTTAAAAGATGTCTTGACAAATACATGAATAGAATGGGAATAGAGGGATACAGTCCCCGGAAGGGTAGGGGGTTTTAGTTGTGACGGGCAGCATGTTGGTGCAGGCTTGGAGAACTGAAGGGCCTGTTCCTGTGCTGTAATTTTCTTTGTTCTTTCCCCTTCAGTACCTCTCTCTCTCTGACCATCAGTCTCACTCTCTTTTTGTCTTTCTCTGTGTTTCTCCATCTCTGTCTTTTCTGCCTTTGTTTTTCCACCTTTCTCTTCCGTTCCTTGCTTTTTGTTCCCCCTCAGTAGAGATAAGGGAAACCAGTTCAGCAACCTCCTTGCACTAATGTAGTGTACATAGGACACTGCAATGATTCTGATTCCCTATTTTGGCAGCTTCACATATTTTTCATGCCATTTTGTGATTTTCTTGGCTTTGAGCTTTGCATTCAGCATGTGAGCATTGGGAGGTGATGGGGACCACTTTGGCCTAGACTTCTTCCTCCCAACTTTCCATTCCCCTATGTTCACTGGAACGTAGGTCTTCCTTATACAACGGCCCTTAGAATGGAGACTGAACTGAGGTCATGTGGGGTTAACCTGTCTCTGCACTTTGTGCTGAGCAACACCATGATATCATCGGTGTGACAGGCGCCATCAATCGTGTATTTCCCAAATGGTCATCCATGGTGCTTCATTGACACCGACTATCCTTTCTATGCACATTAAATAAATTGAAGTAACGTTGTATTTTGGGTCCCATTCATATAATTTATGATCAGGTTTTTATAATGTGGAAACTGAAACGGTTCACCATTCTCTAGCTGCATCCTAACAAGGTTCTGTACATGTTGAACAGACCAAACCTGGGTGGCATGGTGGCACAGTTGTTAGCACTGTTGCCTCATAGCACTAGGGACACAGGTTCAATTCCACCCTCTTGCAACTGTCTGTGTGGAGTTTGCACATTCTCCCTGTGTCTGCATGGGTTTCTTCCAAGTGCTCTGGTTTTCTCTGACAGTACAAAGATTATTTTTTTTCTTTAATCATTCATGGGATGAGGGCATCGCTGGCTAGGCAGCATTTATTGCCCATCCCTAATTGCCCAGAGAGCAGTTAAGAGTCAATCACATTGCTGTGGGTCTGGAGTCACATGTAGGCCAGACCAGGTAAGGAACGCAGTTTCCTTCCCTAAAGGACAATAGTGATGTGTAGGTTAGGTGAATTGGCCATACTAAATTGCCCTATGGTGTCCAGGCGTGTTAGCCTTGGGAAATGCAGGGATAGGGTAGGGGGGATGGGGCTGGGTGGGATGCTCTTCAGGGGGTCATGGTGGACATGTTGAGCCGAATGGCCTGGTTTCCACACTGTAGGGATTCTGTTAAAAAGATCCTGTAGGGATTCTATAACCTTGAAGGGGTCAAATATTCCCCACATTTCAATTCTACGCCTTTAGAAATGAACCTAACTGCTTACATAAATCACGATGAGCTCCTGTGCTAACTTGAAAAATATGCCAGTAGCTTTTGTTACTTTTAAGTTTCCCACCCTCCCTTTTCCCTGAGAGTTCTGACTCCTGCTGGGATTACAATTGCATGCCCCTTGCATAGACCTATTCAGTGGCAGTGGCCAGGGCATTTCACTGTACGGAGTATAAAGTTGCCTCTCCAGTCTACCTTCAAGTGGAGCTAGATAAGCAGAAACCAGTTGTTAGAAAGGGACTGACTCATTTTATTACCTGCACCCCTCAAATCCTTCTCCTTCTTCTGTGACCACTATGGTCTGTCAAAGATCCTAGCTGAGACTGGGAATTGAATCTGGATTGTCCACTCTGCAATGAGTCAGTGATAAATCTGGCGATATTTCTGCCCACTGAGCTACCAGGGTCCAACTTTCTCTCCATCATGGGGCTGACTGGGAATCTCTCTGGGTCATACCGCCTGCCATAAATCTGTGTTGGAAGAATTCACAGGTCTGGTCATTAGACACATCTCGTTTGCCTACCAAGCCCTGGAGTGAGATTCAAACCTACAGCAACTAGCTTAGGTACAAGGATGCTACCTATTGCGGCACAAGAACTGGCTACTGAGCTGGGAAAGTGGTTGGTGTTGGTGGGTAACTATTTTCATTCAGTAATTGGGCATTAAAATATTGGATGTTTTTGCCAACAGTGGGCCCGTGATGAATTTGAAGGATTGTTCAAACAGCCAGCAGAAAATGTCAACAAGTATTTAGAGTAAGTATCTTGATTTTTTTGTCCATTTTGTTCCCGGGTTTATCTGGGTCTATCTTTGCAAGACTCATCGTTGGCGAAAACCAGTAGGAGAACACCTAATGAAAGCGCTCACCGGGTTCAATTGAATTTGATTTGTGTCTCCGCAACGAGGCAGAACCCATGGAATAAAGAGTGTTTTCAGCGCTTGCAGCAAACTAACCTCATCAGGTTACAGTTCCACGTGGAACTTTCCCTTTCCCAAACTCTGACTGAACGAAAGCCCAAATAACAGGGGATTTCTCTGAGCAAATATGACCATGCTGATGATCAGGAGGTGGAGCAAAAGCACCCAGGGCATGGGGAGAGGAGTGGGGCAGCTGTGGTGGTGAAGATAGAGGAGGGAGGGGGAAGTGGGAGGCAGGTGAGAGAGTTGGGGTGGGGGGGTGGGGGCGGTGGGGTTGCGCGTGGGGGAGGGAAGTCAAGCGTATAGCCTCCCCCATCTAGAGCTGTCAAATACACCGAGCCCTCCAGGCAGGAACTTTATAAAGTAAATACAAGTCAAGGTTGTTTGGCTTTCCTTTGCTATTCTTACTGTAATAAAGTTATCTTTGTTCCCGATTTATGGCATGGCCTTGAGTCTGCACAGGACCGAGTCTGCAGTTTATTTTCTCTCTGAATTTGAGCTCGGAAAGTTTCTTAAAAAGGTAATAGTTTCAACCCAACAGTTTACTGAAAGAATTGTTTATCTCATCCCTTGGCAATAAGTTAAGTGGGCAGAACTTCAACAAACACTAACTGTCAAACAGCTGTTAATTCTATACTTTGGATTTACATGCATTTTCCTTCTCCCCATCTCGGCTGCGTTACTTATGTTTTGTCTCTGTCATCTGATCATATGGTTAAACTCTTCCACGGGCAAACAGTTGATTACAGGCTCACCCGCCTATTCCACCAAGTCAAACCCTTCCCCATAAAATATATTCCTAAAGTGTTTGGAACCAGCACGCAATGCAGCGTGTGACACAGTATGTGGAAGAAAAGTAAAAACTTGTGCTAATGTCTTTCACAAGTTCAAGGCTATTCAGCCAATGACATACTTATAATGTGCTGTCATTTGTACCAAATGAAACACAGTTACCAATTTACACACTGTAAGATCCCATAATCATGTACAGAGAGAACTTGTGGTTCAAGTCCATAGCTCCTTGAAAATGCCCACGCAAGTAGATACGGTGGTAAAGAAGGCGTATAGAGGAATTACCTTTATTGGTCGGGGAATTGAGTACAGGAGTCAGGATGTTATGTAGCAGCTTTATAAGATTTTGGTTAGGCCTCACTTAGAGCACTGCGTTCAATTCCGGTCACCTCATTACAGGAAGAATGTGGAAGCTTTGGAGAGGGTGGAGAAGAGGTTTACCAGGATGCTGCCTGGATTAGAGGGTATGAGCTGTAAGGAAAGGCTTGTTTTCTCTGGAGAGGCGGAGGCTGAGGGGAGACTTGATATAAGTCTTTAAAATTATGAGATGCACAGACAGGGGTGACAGTCAGAATCTTTTTTCCAGAGTTGACATGTTTAACACGAAGGGGCTTGCATTTAAGGTGAGAAAGGAAAAGTTCAAAGGAGATGTGAGGGGCAAGTTTTTTAAACAGATAGAGTCTGGAATGTGCTGCCAGAGGTGGTGGTGGAGGCAGATATGATAGAGGCATTTAAGGGGCTTTTAGATAAGCACATGAACAAGGAATGGAGGGACATGGACCAAGGGCAGGCAGAAGGTGCAACATCATGGGCCGTTCCTATGCTGTACTGTTCTATGTTCTATATTGGGGATAGATGACGGTGAAGTACCTTTGAAAGAAAACCAACTCGCTCCAGGCACTTGTTTGTGCGACAGGAATAAATTTGGGAGTAATAGCTGCTGTGATGCAGAGGTGCCAACCCTTCCAGGATTGTCCTGACACGTCATAAAAAACATTAAAGATTAAACCTTGCCTCAATCCTGGAAGAAGAAGCATCAGGTCTACTCAAAATCAATATTGATCGAGGACGGACCCTGCTATTGCCTTGTTCTTATTTTTCTAATTTCCTAGAAGCTTTCTGGTCCTCAGCCAGGTTTGAAATATGAATGCAACTCTTGCCCTCTCTCACCTTTAATAGTCTCAAGCTGGGTCTTAGGACACAACTGTAAGGTCAGTGTTACCTCACCTTCCAATGATACCTCCCAGGAGACACTCACTCACAGCTGGCTGACTGTAATCACTGCACAGAGTCTACCCTGCAGTTGTTAGTCAATCATTGTTCACGAGTAGTTCCATGATACATGGTTCCTGCAATAGCAATTATTCCATCCGCTCATTAACCCGCCCCGTTGACGGGGAGATGGGCCATAAGGTGACGTGAGAAAGTCACTGAATGAACAGAAACATTATAAAACAAAGCCATAGGCCCTTTGCCACCTCTCCACCCCCCACCCGCCTGAACACAGTTTCTTATGAACATAGGAAAATGCTGAAGGGGAAAGATACAACTGACCCTTCAAGTCAAACCCATACCAACTGATGGTGGGACCATCATGGCTAATCAACTCTTCCCACCATACCTCACACTCATCGCCATCCCCCCACCTCATCCCACCCCAATCCTAGCCATGTAATCTCTTCAGAGAGGCAAAACAAACCAGAAGGAAGAACCCAGGACTGATAGTGGAAGATTCCTCCCTGATAACCTCAAATGATTGACGCTAGCCCAGACCTGGTAGATACACTCCTCTTCTTGAGTGTCTGTCCAAAGGCAGCTTGGAAGGGAATGGCAAGGATGCAGATCCCAAATCCAGCCCAGCCTGAACAGGGATCAAACCCTGTGCAATTGACCCCATTCCAACTGAATGAGTGAGTGTGCGTGTGTTTGACCTCATCCATACGGTGGATTCTGTTCATAGAGTCATACAGCATGGAACCAGTCTCTTCGGTCCAACTAGTCCACGCTGACTATGTTCCCAAACTAAACTAGTCTCACCAGTCTGCATTTGGCCCGTATCCCTCCAAAACTTTCCTATTCAGGCACTTATCCAAATATCTTTTAAATATTGTAACTGTACCTGCATCCACCACTTCCTCTGGCAGTTCATTCCACGCACGAACCACTCAGTGTGAAAAATGTTGCTGCTGTTGTCCTTTTTAAACCTTTCTCCTCTCACCTTAAAAATATGGCCCCTAGTTTTGAACTGCCCCACCCTAGGGAAGGGTCCTTTACTATTTAGCTTATCTATGCCCCTCATGATTTTAGAAACCTCCATAAGGTCACCCCTCAACCTCATAAGTTCCAGTGAACAAAGTCTCAGCCAATCTAGCCTACTTTTTTAACTCAAACCCTCTGTTCCCAGCAACATCCTGGTAAATATTCTCTGCACCCTCTCTCATGTAGTAATATCCTACCTATAACAGGGAGACCAGAACTGCACGCAGCACTGCAGAAGATGCTTCCTGTACAACCTCAGTATGATGTTCCAACTCCTATACTGAAAGGTCTGAGCACTGAAGGCAAGTGTGCTAAATGCCTTCTTCACCACCCTGTCTACCTGTGACACAAATTTCAAAGAATTATGTACCTAAGCCCCTAGGTCTCTTTCTACAACACTACCCAAGGCCCTACACTTAATGGTATAAGTCCTGCCCTTGTTTCTTTTACCAAAATGCAACACCTTGCATTTATCCCAATTAAACTCCATCTGCCAGTCCTCAGCCCATTTACCCAATTGATGAAGATCTCTTTGTAATCTTAAATAACCTTCTTCATTGACCACTGTACCACCAATCATGGCGTCATCCATAAACTTACTAACCATGCCTCCTATATCCTTATCCAAATCATTTGTATAAATGACAAACAAAAGTGGACCCAGTACTGAACCCTGGGGAACACCGAAGGTCACAGGGCTGCAGTCTGGAAAACAACCCTCCACCACCTCCCACGAAAGAGAATATGAAACCTGTAACACACGCTGAGTGGCACAGCAGAATGATGCCATTTTCTTGCCGACCTGCCTCATTTTCCACCCACGTACAGCACAGCTCCTTTGTATCAAAGCCTGGCTGAGAACAGGCAGCCCGAACTAAATCACACAGGAGCAAATCACAGCACAAGTGATTCAACAGTTAAACAGCAAACACCTTCAAGGCAGATCTTTAGCTGATCACTTTAGGCCAAATCCGCTCAGATTTTCCCTCTTGCTGTAGCTTGAGGGAGATGTACAGAACCAAGTGGTTGGAAACAAGATGTTTAGTTTCGAGCCACTAAAGGTTCCCTCTTTTTCTGCACATCTGCAACTCATTTCGAGTATTTCACTCAGTGCCGTCTTCACAGCTGCAGAGAGGCAGCTCTGTTCTGCGAAGTTGTGAAATGAGTTCACACAGTTGAGTCTGCCAAGCCTTTCCCCAGTGGGCTCTGGACGTGGGGTAGGTGGGTGTTTTGGGGCTGTAGGGGTGGGGTGCACGATATAACACAATGTTTCTAATCAGTTGAGCTTTCCGCCTTAATCCTAGCATTCAGAGATGTGATACAAGAAAAAGGACAAGCCTAAGAACAGGACTGTGTATTTAATCCCCAGCATTTATTTGAGTACTGTGGCAAGAGGTCGATGGATGCTCGTAGATGGGTTTTTAATACAGCATTGCAAAAGTTAGTGTCTCCTTCATAAAACATGCTTTCTTCTTAATTTGTTCAAAGGCTGCGAAAGCCTCTATTTATTATCAATCCCTGGTTGCAAATAAGTGAGGGTAACAGCAGACCAACATTAAAACAGGGGCTTTCATGACTCCAGGACGTCAGAAGGCACTTTATAGCCGATGATGTACTTTTAAAGTCAATGCCAAAGGCTGGAAACAGACAACTAATTTACACACACAACGCTCCCACATATAGCAATGTGATAATGATCAGGCAGTTTGCAATGTTGATGGAGGGATAAATACTAGCCAGGGAATAAGGAGCCATTCCCCCTGGCCTTTTCCAAAACACTGCCCCC